CAATCCTACTGCTAGGTATTTATCGAAGTGAAATAAAAAACTATCTTCACACAAAAACCTATATACAAATGTTTAGAGCACCTTTATTTGTACTCAGCAAAAATTGGAAATACTTTTTTTTTTTTTTTTTTTTTTTGCCAGTGAGCGCTGTGAGTGCACCGGTCATCCCTATATACGATCCGAACCCGCGGCGGGAGTGCTGCTGCGCTCCCAGCACCGCACTCTCCCGAGCGTGCCATGGGCTCGGCCAGGAAATACTTTTTTTTTTTTTTTTTTAAAGATGACCGGTAAGGGGATTTTAACCCTTGACTTGGTGTTGTCAGCACCACGCTCAACCAGTGAGCGAACCGGCCATCCTTATATAGGGATCTGAACCCATGGCCTTGGTGTTATCAGCACCGCACTCTCCCAAGTGAGCCACGGGCCGGCCCTGGAAATACTTTTTTTCCAACTGTAAAATGAATAAACAAACTGTGGCACTTCCACACAGTGGAACACTACTCAATAATATAAAGGAACGAACCACTGATACAGTGACATTGATGAATCTCAAATGCATTATGCTAGACTCAAATGCTAAATATTACATAATTCCATTTATGACATTCTGGAAAAGGCAAAACTAGAGTGATGGAGAACAGAACAGATTAATGGTTGCCAGAGGCTATGGATTCAGGGAGGGTTTAACTCCAAAGGGGTAGCCCCAAGGAATTTTGGGAGGTACTAAGGACGAAACTGTTCTGTGTCTTTACTGTGGTGATGGTAACATAATTCTGCCTGTCTATCAAGACATAGAACTGTATGCCAAAAAGAGTGAATTTTACTGTATGTAATTTTAAAAATAAATTGAAGTTTTTTCTCTTAAAAAAAAAAAATCAAAAGTAGGTGCTAAAACTCCAACTGAGGTCTGGCCAGTTAGCTCAGTTGTTTAGAGCACAGACTTGTAACACTAAGGTCACAGGTTCAGTTCCTGGTACCAGCCAGCCGCCAAAAAAAACCCATTCCAACTGAAGCTAAACAAGGTGACTCTTGTCCACATCCACTGTGGGTTTCAGAGTTTAGTCCTGTTCTTTGCCACCAGACTCCACTTTCCTTCCCTCCTTCCCAGCGCTAGAACAAAGCCATCTATCTCCCCATCCTGAGGGACTGTGGCTTGGTAGCTAATTCTGGCCACACTGAGATATTAGTCTCAGAAACTTCTCTTTCCACGTCAGCATGCCCCTGTGCGACTAACATCTGTGTTCTCCCTGCCCTACTCTCAGGGGTCTAGTGGGGATGAGCGGGCAATGGCTAAGGAGCTGGCCGGCCTTCTTTGTGACGGCACTGAAGACACTGTGGCCGAGGGCCAGGAGCCAGCTGAGTTCTGGGACCTACTGGGAGGGAAAACTCCCTATGCTAATGATAAAAGGTATGGCAACACAGTATCCCCCTCTGCTTGGCTCCCCCTGCCTCCCAAGCTTGTGAACTGCACTAAGGCCAAGATCCCTTTCAGTTTTAAAAACATTTCTAAGCAGCTCAGTGCCTCTAAACAAACTGTATTGCAGACTCCAGCAGGAAATCCTAGATGTCCAGTCCCGTCTCTTTGAATGTTCTAATAAGACTGGCCGGTTTACTGTCACTGAGGTCACAGATTTCACCCAGGATGACCTGAATCCAGGTGATGTGATGCTCCTGGATACCTGGGACCAGGTAAGACACAGCCACAGAACTCAGAACAAATGACAAAGATCCCCATAGTTTAGGCTGTTTTTGTGTAGTATCCCCACATCAGAATAGACCAAGGGTAGCCCCAGACCATCCCCAAGTCAATCAAACATTTGTCAGTGTTGACTAAAGGAAGAGCATATTTTTTCAGACTTGGAGTGAACAGAATGATGTTTAAAACTCACCAGTCTGTGCTAGGAGCATGTGCTACAAAAAAAGACAAAAAACAACTCACCATACTGGGAAATTTTCCCACCTTGTTTTGGGAAAATCAGGCCATCCTGCCATCATGCATTTCTTTATCTTAGTATCAATAGCAACAGGTTCCAAATTTAGAGGATATGGGCCTTTTAAGGAACAAAGGGGTGTAGATGAGATATCTTCAAGGCAACCCCTCCTCCACGTGCCATTTTCTTCAGTTCAGCTCAGGAAATATACTCTGAGCACCCCCTCTGTGCTAGTCACTGTGTTAGGTGGGTGTCACCAAGGTGAAGGGCCCCTGCTCTCAGAGTTTACAGACTGAAGGGGGGAGCCATACAGAGAAACATTATTTCACTACGATGATGTATATACAAGGTGCCATGGGAGCACAAATTAGGGGCACTTGACACAGTTTAGGGGCTCAAAGAAGACTTCCTGGAGGAGATGGTTCTCAGGCTGAATCTCAAAGTATGAATAGGTATTAATTGGTTAGAAAAGGATGGAGAAGGCATTCTGGGCAAAGGAAATAGCACACGTAAAAAAGCAAGACATGAAATATTATAGCATATAGGAAACTAAAAGAAATATCAGAGGGCCGACTCTGTGGCTCACTCGGGAGAGTGCAGCGCTCCCACTGCGGGTTTGGATCCTATATAGGGATGGCCGGTGCGCTCACTGGCTGAGCGCGGTGCGGGCGACACCAAGCCTAAGGGTTACGATCCCCTTACCGGTCACAAAAAAAAAAGAAATATCGGAACGTAACAAAGAGTTAAGGAGAACCCTAGAAATGAAGCTGAAGAAGCAAGTATGACCTACCATGTGAAGAAGTTTGACATTTACTCTGGAAAGCCACTGAAACTTAAGGGAGTGACATGGTCAGACTGGACTTGAGATAGATCACTCCCGCAAGTGTAGGAGAGGAAGGAGCGGGTGAGGATGAAGAAGACTGTTCACTGGAGGCCAGTCAGTAGACTATTGCAGTGGTCAAGAGCTGTGATGGGCCTGCATAAGGGCAGTGGAGCAGGGATAGAGGGATGGTGACAGATTTGACAAATACATGGGAGGTAAAGTTGGCCAGCTCTGGTTACTTACTGGATATGGGGGGTTTCTAAGATGACTCCCAGGTTTCTTCCTCAGGTGACTGGATGAATACCACTAATCAAGTATGGAGACTAAGACAGATACAAGTTTAGAAAAGAAGAGCTACATTTTGGGGATGTTATATCTGAGGTGCTTAGAGACAGCCAAGAGGAGGTATTTTGCAAGAAGTTGTATTCAGGAAGCTGAAATTCAGAGAGAGTTCAGGTTTGGAGATGTAGATTTGTGAGATACACAGGGCAATTAAAATCATGAATATCAAGCTGATTCTGGGAAAACCTTTCTCTGCTGAACAAATTAGGCTGAGGCTATGAATTGCTGAGGGGGAAAGATAGTGTAGTGTGTATGATCTGATACTTAGTCCTTGGTATAATGGCTTTAACAAATATTAAATCTCTACCACAACAGGTGTTCCTGTGGATTGGAGCTGAGGCCAATGCCACAGAGAAGGAAAGGGCCCTTGCTACAGCCCAGGAGTACCTGTGCACTCACCCCAGTGGCCGAGATGCTGCCACACCAATCCTGATCGTTAAGCAGGGGTGTGAGCCTCCCATCTTCACAGGCTGGTTCCTGGCCTGGGACCCTCACATTTGGAGTGTAAGAAAAGATAGAATGGGGAAGATGTTCTTACTGCCAGGGAGCTCAGAACTAAGAGCTCAGTGGAAAAGTGGAGTACTGATTCAAGGGCCTTGTAAAACCAGGACCTCATTTCCCCCACTCCCACTCCATTCCCTGCTTTTTACTTCTCTTTTTCACCTGCCACAGCAAAAAGAACAGTTAGATAATTCACTTGTCTCAGCAATAAGCCATGAAAATAAGTAGTTTATAAAGTGTATCCACACACATCATCATTTTGATTTTTACAACCACCCTGATAGCCACCACAAGTATTATGCTTCTGATTTTATAGATGAGGGAACTAAGAGGATAAATTATTGGTCTAAAGTTACAGTTAACCAATAGGAAGAAGCCAGGTTTTTTGACTCCTAGTCAAATGCTCTTTCTTGAATCTGGTAGGGAGGATTGAAGAGCAACATCAAAGAATGTAGATCATGTTTAAGTATCTTTCAACCCTGCATGGACCCAGAAGGAGGAATTTTCATTTTTACTTATCCTTGAAATGTCCTCTCATTCCCTGGCTCTTTTGCTTTTTCTGAAGATACAGACCAGGCCTCAGATGTCCGTACCCTATAAGCAATACCTTACCCTGTGTTTTCTATCTCTCCTTCTCAGGCAGGAAAATCATATGAACAGTTAAAAGAAGAGCTGGGAGATGCTGCTGCTATCATGAGAATTACTTCTGTGAGTTGGGTTTGCTCTTAGAGAAGCAAGTCACACAGGCAACCAGAGCCAAAAAGAAACAGCAAATGCTACAGATTACACATGGGCAAAACCCTATCATGTCCCTCTTAGTAATATTCTAGTTGTCTATTTTGACGTAAAGATTTTTTCAATTGATAGAAAAGCATGTCTCAGAGCCAAGTTTCTTATTTTACTGCCTCCCAGAATTTAGAACAGACTTGCTGTTAAAAAATAACAACTAATTTTGTTATTTAACTCTCTCTGCCATTCAGGACAGATTAAATTTATTGGCAGCATTCTTCAGAAATAATAATCTTCTAACCCAAATGATATCAGTTTTTGACAGTGAAGTCCACAGAAACTTAGGTCATTTACACCTATTTTAATGGCTAAAAGGAAAAAGGAGTCTCTGGCCAGTAATCCAACAGCTCCTTAACATCAGGATGAGCACATGGCACCAGGTGTTCAAACCATCTGGCAATTTTGTCCTTTGTGCTCTACCAATTCAAATTTTAAAGCTAGTCATAATGTAATGTCTTTAAATTGTCTTTAAGAAAAGTATGGCTCCAATCTGAATTCATCTAAAGGCTGGAAATGTAGGGCTTAAATAAAAGTGCCAAGAGAAGATACATGATCACAATCTTTAAATAGATTTAAGCATAGCATATATGCCAAACCAGCTATACGGGACTCACCTTAGACTTACTGATCAGCTTTCCAAAGAAGGACCCCCAAAATCCCCAAATCTGAATGTTTTCAATTCCCAGATGATTCTGACACGCAGCCTGGTTTGGGGACCATTGTTCTGAAAGATGATTACAAAGGGTGAAGTGGTATAAGTCAAAATGTTAAATATACACACAAAGAACTGTGATCACAGACACTGAACAGTCTTTTTTCCTTTGTCTCCATTCTTATCTTACCTAGGACATGAAGAATGCAACCCTCTCCCTGAACTCTGATAACAGTGAGCCAAAATATTACCCTGTAGAAGTTCTGTTGAAAAATCAGAGTCAGGAGCTGCCTGAGGATGTGAACCCTGCCAAAAAGGAAGTAAGTGGCTGAAGGAACTGTGTCTGACCTAAGGGGAGCTCTCTATGAGGAAAGCACCCATCTCAGTAAATGGCCTAGGATAGTTCTGGCATATTGTAGGCACTCAATGGACATTTGAGCTACCAAGTAGATCAAACCAAAAAGCCAAGGCTCCTTTTTTTTGACAGCTAGCTGGAACAGGAATCAAACCCTAGACCATGGTGTTATCAGCACACACTCTAACAAGCTGAGCTAACTGGCCAGCCTTTCCAGAGCTCCTTCTTGATTCTTTTTCTGACCTCCTACATCAATCCCTCAGCTAGTCTCTGTCCACTCCTCTCCATCTCTCTGCTGCTAGTCTAGCCTAGCCATCATGGACAACTGCCATCCACCTGGTTTCCACCGTCCCTACAATCCATTCCCCATACTATAGCCAAAGGGCTTTTAAAACCAATGACACTGTCCTGTTTAAAACACCTTGAAAGGCTTCCCAGTGTACTTGAAAAAAGAATATGAAGGCCGACACAGTCTGACCTGTCTACCTCTTGATTTCATCTCATATACCGCTCCCTCTTCACTTACTACCCTTCGGCCAGTGGCTGCTTTTCTGTTCCTCAGATATGCTCATTCCAGCCTTTGAGCCTTTTCACTTGTTGGTACTCCTGCCTGAAAAAACATTCTTCTCCCAGATCATCACAGAGCCAGGTCCTTCTCATCATGTAGGTCTCAGCTCCAATATCACCTCCCCAGAGAGGCCTTCTGTGACCACTCTGTCTATTCCCCTGTCCCTTTATACTTGTTCATTGTCTATCTGCCCCTCTAGTAATATCCTTCAGACGAAGGACCTTGTCTGTCTTACCATCATATTCTGAGCTTTTCAGCACCTAAATCAGTACCGCCTAGCAGATAATGGGCGCTCCTTAAATTTTTTTTTTTTTCCCCTTTTGTCTTTTTTCGTGACCGGCAACGGATCGCAACCCTCAGTGTCACGCCCGTACCAGACCGGGACCGGCAACGGGATCGCAACCCTCGGTGTTGCACCCGCACCTCGCTCAGCCAGTGAGCAGCCGGGTCTGTATGTGGGATCCGAACCCTCGGCGGGAGCGCCACCGCGCTCCCAAGCGGCGCACTGTAGCAGTGCGCCACCGGGCCAGCCCGAATTTTTGTTGAATAAACTAATATATTCATATTGAATGAATTTTCATTTTCCCCTTTAAGGGCTTGATTTGGGAAGGTTCTCTGGATTTCTCACAATGGATTTCTAACCTTCTTTTAAGTATCTGGACTACAACTTTCTTGAAAGCAGAAGCCATATATTAATAATCTTTACTTGGATATACAATATTCATTACATCAATAAATAAACCTTAGGAGAAGTTTATGCTCTCAGTAAGATCCACCTGATTTTGCATTTGAAAACTTCTAGATAAAAAGGGTAGTTAAGGGCATAAAACAAGGAAAACCATCATTCAGTTCAGTTCTCCATTCTGCCAAAACCTAATGTCTATTATTCATCCATAATATATAACCCATTTATTGTCTTTCTGTCAAGAAAATGGTGTTAGCTGGGACCAAGAGAGTAGTGAATCCAATCAGCTTCTTCCACAGGCTAAAATGGGACTCCATGACCTGAAGAACACCTCTCCCATGAATAATTTACGTCTATTACAGCCTTTCTGAGGAATTCATTCTACTTCCCCCTTCAAGGTTCTACCTAGGATTCTCTCTTACCCCCACTCTCCCCACTTCTATTGGCATTGATAGGTGCCATGTCTTCCTTCTAACCGAAAACTTTGTTTTCTCTCTTAGAATTATCTTTCTGAACAGGACTTTGTGTCTGTGTTTGGCATCACAAGAGGGCAATTTGCTGCTCTGCCTGGGTGGAAACAGCTCCAGTTGAAGAAAGAAAAGGGGCTTTTCTAAGGCAAGAAGGCATATACCTATTGCAAGACCACAGAAGAGAGCAGATAGCGCCAGTATCAGGAAAGAATATCTACCAATTTCTGCATGACATTCAGTTACTTAATTTAGATACAATAGAGTTTGCAAATCATAGAATGTTCTCCATTTTTCCTCATCCTTGCATTCCTTGGGTGTTACATACCTAAAATGTTAACTAACCACTTTTGGTTTTTGTGGCCTTCTAGCTAAAGCCTCAGCAGGAAGCACTAAAACTGCATGATTCTGGAGAAGTCACAAGAAAGAGAACCAAAAAACTAAGATTAAAATGTTTAATATTATGCCAGGACATAACATTTGTTTTAAATTTTAAGATTGGTATTTCTAAAACCTATTTAACCCACAAATCATTGAAGTTATTCATGTATACACCCAAGGTCAAAATCCAAATGCCCAGATCTGTTATGTGCCAGAGCATTTTTAACTTTTCAAATAAATATACCTATCCAAGCAAATGGAATTCCTTTCAGCATCTGGGGTTTGCCTGTGATTGTAACTTTATGCTATGTTGGGAGAAATGTTTCAGTACTGGGGAAGTAAAGAGGCAATGTTGAGTGAGCTCTCTAACAGGACCACTGTAATTCCTGTTTCTGACAAAAGACTGTCAAAATATGCCTTACAGTTCTCCAGTACCCACCCAGCCACCCACACCCCATTATTCAAAAGAGAAATATGGCCATGTGTTATTAATTTCAGTAAACGAGGTCAGAAGCAGTGTGCGTACCACTGCAGAGAGCCTTCAAAGCATTCTACAGACACAAACAAATGAACCTACTTTTTCCAGACAACTCTTAAGTTTGAATCAATAATCCCTCCAGAGGAATCCACGTAGTCTAAGTACTGTACTCTAACAGGGAAAGTTCCAGGGTAAAAGCACAGTCCAAAGTGCCCCAAGGCAAAAGCATAACAAGAGAGTTCTATGTCATAGAAGGAGTAAGATGAAAAGTGTGAGGTAGAAATTAGAGGGACACCATAATAAATCTATATTGAAGGGAACAGCAGAATAATTATTGATGCCTGTTCTCTCAGACACTGTCAGTCACATAAAGTCCACCTGTTGTTTTCTAAAACCTGTCACAAGTAAGGCACGAGAGATAATGCAAACAAGGAAAAAATTCTACTCTCTTTATTATATAATTATTTTATTTAATAATTTTACCCATGAAGTATATAATTACAAACTCAAATGAAAAACAAATTTTGAGTTTGAAGAGGCTTAAGAAATAACTTCTTTTTGTAATGATGTCCAGAGCTACAAATAAACATCTCCTCCTGGGATACAAGTCTCTGGCTAAGCCTCTGCTTCTTCACTTTCTCCACATTCAAACCGCACAAAGTCTACTACAGCCACTCCCTGGGGCTGCACATACTGTCCCAATGTGATGGAGGGATCCAGCAAGTATGGTTGGGACAGCATCTTGGTTTCTGCCTCTCCCCCAGGCTCATCATCCAGGGAGCCAACAGAGAGAGGGGCCATGCCCACCACATGCTGCCCAAGGCGGCGGCCAAGGTCTTCAAGGTTTGCATTCCGCTCAGATGTCTCGCAGATGACCAGGGCCCCATACTTCCCCAGCACCAGGTTGTGGAGTGAAGGACTGTGCACTGCTCCATGGACATAAGAGCCAACGTAGAACCCAGATGGCACCTTCACCCATGCAGCTCGTTTAAGGATCATGTTTTCTCCCAGCTTCCCTATAAAAAAAGCAAAAACAAAAACCCAACACGCCACCAGAATATAATGGCTGTGGTGATACCAATATATGCACAGAAGAGGCCAAGTTTAGAAGACAGACTTCTGTATTTACTCTGGATTTGCAATAAGGAGAGATACCATTTTCAGTTTTTGTTTAAAGAGGAAAAGGGGTATGTGGGGAGAGGGTAGGGGTGGGGAAAATGGGGAGCACCTTTCTGGAGCACCAACAATGTGCCAAGCACTCTGGTATTTAAAAACATGGGCTAAAAAAAAAAAGGGCTGAGCCCGTGGCGCACTCGGGAGAGTGCGGCGCTGGGAGCACAGGAGCGCTCCCGCCGCGGGTTTGGATCCTATATAGGGATGACCGGTGCGCTCACAGCACTCACTGGCTGAGCACAGTGCAGCCAGTCTCAAAAAGGACGAAAAAATAAATTTTAAAAAAATAAAAATAAATAAATAAAATAAAAACATGGGCTATGGTGTCATAAAGGCTCAGGTCTCAGTTCTGACTCTTACTGGCTATGTGACCTTGGTTGGGCAAGTGACTTAATGACATAACCTCATTTACTAATTTATCAAGTCTTAGTTTCCTCATCTATAAAATGGAGATGATACCACCTACCTTTCAAGGTTATCAAGAAAAACAGATAATACATGTAGAAGCAATTGTTACGGTATCTGACACATAGTGAGCACTAAAATGCTAGCTGTTATTATTACATTAATCTTAGGCTTAGAAAGCTCAAGTAACCCACCCAATCATACATGGCAGAGCTGGAATTAAAACTCAGCTCTGACTCCAAAGCAATTAAGTGCTTTTTCCCACCAAATTACCATCCCTCCCAAATACCGCCTTAATGGACACAGACAACTCCTAATCACCCATTGTATCAGGACAAAGTCCAAAACTAAAAGTCCCACAAAATCCAAAACCTCACATCATCTGATAGTTTCAACTTCCTCTCATCAAAATAAAAAGATAACATTTTCAGAGTCGTTTATGAGAAGCAAAAACAGATTCCAGTTTTTCCCCTTTCTCTCAGGATGCCATTCCCTTCTAACAAAAGTCCAAATAAGCCAAAAGGTACGAAGGGGTGGGAGAATAAACAAAGGGGTCTGGATAAATATGCCTGCATTGGTCATAGTTATGCCTGCACATAGTCATAGTGCCCCACACAGGGCCGGCCCGGTGGCGCACTCGGTAGAGTGCAGCACTTGGGAGCGTGGCGGTGCTCCCGCCGAGGGTTTGGATCCCATATAGAGACCGGTCCGCTCACTGGTTGAGCGTGGTGCGGGCGCGACACCAAGGGTTGCGATCCCATTGCCAGTCGCGGTACGGGCGCAACACCTAGGGTTACGATCCCGTTACCAGTCACGAAAAAAGACAAAAAGGAAAAAAATAAAAAATAAAAATAAAAGCTAGGGTTGCGATCCCGTTACCAGTCACGAAAAAAGACAAAAAGGAAAAAAATAAAAAATAAAAATAAAAGTCATGAAAAGGGAGAATCCAGAAATCAAAACAAATTTTAAAATAGCTCAAAGCATCTACCCAATAGTTAATTCCCAGAAACTGATGAGACTGAAACACCCAGTTCTTCCAGAATTTCTTAATAAGACCATACATAGCTGTCTGCTGGTTTGTCATCCATGACTCACTGAAATATCACACGTATTACGAGATGACCCAATAAACACAGAATTGATGACTTCAGTGGAAACTTCAGATGAGCAGTAAATTCCCAGCAAACTCCAACCCCAGCCGTACTTCCCTCTCTCCATCAAGCACACACAGGAAGAAAGTTAAATCCCCATTAGTCCAACCATAATGATCCAGATACGGTTCCTATAGCCAGCGGGCTCTAAAAGAATGTACCTTCACAAATTCAGAACCGTATATTTTGAAAAGAGAAATCAAATTCCTAAAACTAACGGCCCTATATTTTCCTGGATCCCTTTATAAAGAAGACAAAACGACCCTTAACATAGTATTTTTCCCTATTGCATATACAGATGTAGTCAACTGGAAGTCAAAGGGCCATCTCTGCCTAAAGACACACTTTGTTTTGTCAGCACAGTGATGAAAATCATTTTAATTAGTTGCAAACAGCTAAAAACCTAAAATGTTTGCACATAAATCTAAATTTTTTTTTATTGGACCATAATTGATTATACATACTTTGGGGGTTCAATGTTGACACATGTTGATCAAATCAATATTACTAGTATATATATTGTTACAAATTGTACTTATTCTTTATGCCCCTTGTCCAATCTCTCCCTATCCTCCTCTCCCTCCCCCTCCCACCACTAATAACCCTAGATTTCTTCTACACTGGGACTCCATTTCCCCCAATATAACAATTGGCTAGAGCTTGGTAGTGGCACTCCCTTCAGCAGAGTATGAGCTCTTCAGGATGCCTGCTGCTCCCTAACATCTAATACACAACCCACTTCTCACATTCATACTGTCTGACCCTTGTAGGTACATGAGCTTACAATTCTTGATTTAGCTTTGAGGAACAGCAAAGATACCAAGAGATCCAATCCTTAATTTCCAGTTTCCAGAATTCTTACAAATACTCACCAACTGCTAAGGCCAACTGATCCTTCAGAGAGCCTTCTTTGTCAGGCCCAGCTGGAAGTCCAGAAAGCTCAGAGGAATTCAGAAAGCCCTAAGTGCACAAAGCAAACAAATATGAACCAGTTCCACACTATCCAAATTATCTAAAGAATAGGCAAAAATAGCCTATTTCTAAGAAAATGACTTAAGACAACTAAGTATAATTTGGTGATATTTTCATTAAGCCAAGGATATTAAAAATTGGTAACAGTTCCATTTTCACAAATATTTTATTCTATCACTGCACCACCTCCAATTCCATTCCACTCCTTCTCCAGTCTAACTTCTTAAATGTAATTTTCTAGAAATCAGAAACAATATTTTCATACAATCATAAAATGTTAAAGCTAGGAGACTTGCAAATTGTTGGTGGGAATGCAAAATGGTGCAAATCCAATGTAGGGGAATTGGACAATATTTAATAAAGCTGCATATGCACTTATTTTTTGATCTTACAATCCTATTTCTAGGAATCTACCTTGATGATACACTTCCAACAATACGAAAGTGCATATGCACAAGATTAATCATTGAGCAATTATTTCTAATCATAAAATTTTGTAACACCCTAAATGCCCAAACACAGGCGGAAGGAGACTGGTTGAATAAACAATGGCACATCCACACAACAGAATACTAAGCATCTGGAAAAAAGATTTCCATGAGCTGCTATGGAGTATTTTCAGGATATATTATTATGCAAAAAAATCAAATTAATGGTGTATACACATACCACCATTTATGTAAGAAAGAAGTATTTGTATAAATATGCTTACTTTTGCAAGAAGAAATACTGAAAGGATAACCACAATCCAATGAAGTTGGTTATCTACAGGAATGGAATAGAATGGAGTAGAAGGCAGAGAAGAGGGTACCTTTCTTTTTTAGATAGTTTTAACTTTTGGAATTTCGTTAATATTCATTTTTGAATACGTTAATGTTTAACATATTCAAAATAAAATTAAATCAACAAAGACTTAGGGTGAAAACGAAAACTGACTAAACAGAAACATAAGACTCTAACTGTATTTCAAATGAATAACATAACCTCACAAAGGAAAACAAAAAATCCAAATAATTTTCAGTACAGTCCCTTGACCACATAACTTCAATGTAAAGACAAAAAGAACTAAAGAAATCTTGAACTTCTTAGTAGGTTTGTTATCTGTGGTAATTGGATGTAGCAACTCTGAAACAATTTTGTATATACTGTAACATCGAGTAAATATAGTAGAAATAAGTAAACATATTAAAGTTATTGGGAGCCGGTGTTCTCAATATGAAAGGAAAATACAAATATAGAATGGTGGAAGGAAAGGAAAAACCTTATGGTACTGCATTAGAACTTAAAAGATAAGGGCTGGCCCTTGGCTCACTCGGGAGAGTGCGGTGCTGATAACACCAAGGCCACGGGTTCGGATTTTATATAGGGATGGCCGGTTAGCTCACTGGGTGACCATGGTGCTGACAACACCAAGACAAGGGTTAAGATCTCCTTACCAGTCATCTTTAAAAAAAAAAAAAAACCAAAAACTTAAAAGATACGCAGACACATACATACTCATAGCTCTGTCTGCTCAAAGAACAGAGAAACAATGACATCACAGTAGAAATAAGCCTATCTAATGCCCAGATCTTGGTTTCAAAAAACCATTCCCCCACTAAAAAAGACCAGGACTCCTCGGAGAAGTGGCCAATTTCATGGTTTGGGCAAGTATGACATAATTCCAGAATATCTTCTTATGCTAAAATGTAAGGAAATACTCAGAAAACAATAAGGACATATCAAAAGGACACTACAGCCCGCATGCACAGGCTCAGCTTCCACAGGTCAAATCCACAGATAATTTGGGCATCAAAATGAGTAATGGATTTTATAATGAATTGTAATCTATTGTATAAAATAAGAATCCATGAGTCAATGTTGATACTAAGTAAAGGGGGAAGGGAAATGTCTTTCTAACAGTAAAATGCCAATTAATAAAACAAATAGTTACGCGTCACTTAAGAACAGGAATAAACTCTGAGAAATGCATCATCAGGCAATTTCATAAAGTGTACACAAACGTAGATGGTATTGCCATCTACAATCCTGATATATATGGTATAGCCATTATAATCTTATGGGACCGCCACTGTATATGCGGTCCTTCATTGACTGAAATGTCATTACATCATGACTGTACACATAAAAGAAATTATAAGAGAAAAATGGGCCGGCCTGTGGCTCACTTGGGAGAGTGTGGTGCTGATAACACCAAGGCCACGGGTTCGGATCCCTACATGGGTGTTTTAATCCGTTTTGTGTTGCTATAACAGAAATACCTGAGACTGGGTAATTTATAAAGAAGAGAGGCTTATTTGGCTTACGATTCTGGGACAGCTGCGTCTGGCACGGGCCTCAGGCTACTTCTACTCATGGCAGAAAGTGGCAGGGAGCCAGTGAGTACAAGCAGATCAGATGGCCAGAGGAAGCGAGAGAGAGAGACAAGGTGCCAGGGTCTTTTTAAGCAACGAGCTCTCGCGGGAACTAATAGAGCGAGAACTCATTCATTATCTCCCCTCCCCCAGGAAGAGCATTAATCCATCCATGAAGGATCTGCCCCCATGACTCAATCAGTTTCCAACACTGCCACATTGGGGATCAAATTTCCAAATGAATTTTGGAGGGGACAACACATCCAAACTCCATCAATAGGGATGGTCGGTTAGCCCAATTGGGAGAGCATGGTGCTGACAACACCAAGTCAAGGGTTAAGATCCCCTTACCAGCCATCTTTTTATAAAAAAAAAAAGAGAGAGAGAGAAAAACAACCATTATGCAACAATCATGGTAATAGCTGATCTTGATAAAAATCACCAATGAATGCTAAAACTTGCAGAGAATCATCAATGGATTCTAAAAGTAGGCAAAAGTTTTTTGGGGGAACTGGATGTTTACACAGCCACAAAGAATCTTCCACACAGATTAATTGCTAATTACGAAGAGGAACATGGCAACTTCACAGTGAAGAAACCTGCCAAATATTACCTTAACGAAGAGATCAAAATTAGCATCATCAATAATGGGACCAACAGTCATCATGTGCCTCCTCATGTGATGTTCTGAGAAAAATACTATTTAATATTCCTATAAAAATCCATATACTGAGCATAATTATGAAGAAACCTCAGATAAACCCAAGCTGAAGGATGTTCTACAAAACTGCCTTGTACTCTTCCAAAATGCCAATGTAATGAAACACACAAAAAAGGCTGAGGAACAAAGAAAAAAGGCTAAACAGACATGACAACTAAATGCAACACATGATACTAGATTGGATCCTAGATCAGAAGGAAAATTGCTAGCTGGCAAAATATGAATACTCATATATACTGAGTATTATATAAATAAAAATATAAAAATATTGTATCAAATGTTAAAATTCCTAAATGTAGTCACTATACTGTGGTTATTTAAGAGAATGTCCTTGTTTTTAGGAGATACATGCTGAAGGAATAAATAATCCTGATGTCCACAACATACAAATTGATTTTAAAAAAAATAGCAGTGATAGTATGTATATAAAAAGTGGTAAAGCAAATGCAGCAAAATGTTAACAAATGGTGAATTTGGATGAAGAGTACACTGGAATTTATTGCAGAATACTAGCAACTTTTCTGTAAATTTGAATTTTTTACAAAATAAAAGTTAAAAAATTTAAACTAAAAACCAAAAGAGATAAAAATAAATAAACAAAGCTAAAAGGGACCAAAGTCCCTTGTTACAAATAATCAAACAGAGGCCCAAGAAAGTAAGTGAATGGCTCAGGGTTACAAATGCAGTCACTGGCAAAATCAAGATTAGAATTTCTAGTTCAAGTGACTCTTCTACTCAACACAATTCTAAAAAATAATCAACACAGTTTTCAACATAATATGACTATTAAATGCCAGTAATAATTAACATTTACCATGGGCTCTCAAGAGGATAAACGAGAAAAAAGGTGGGAATAAGCACACAAAAAAAGGGAGTGATTGGTTCATTTTTGCCTTGATAATAAGGCTGAATCAAAGGCAAACATATAATTCCTTCTTTGACCCTCCTATGGACAAAATATGCTTATTCTCCTAAGTTACCTTCTCCACTTTTTCTATTCAGAAATCTTTTCCTCAGGTCATTCCAGATTTCTGAACAGGAAGCCTCAGGTGGCTTCACTTGGTTTGGCTGACTCCAGCCCATTGGCATTCATTCAGCAAAGATTTATTAAGCCCCAACTAAAAGCTGAGCCGAATTCTCTTTCACCAGAACTATAATAGTGAAAAGACAGATTCCGTGCCTCATGAAGCTTACATTCTATTGGGGAAGACACACAATATACAAATAAGTAAAAATGTAATATATAACCACTATAATAAAAAAAAATTAAATGAAGCAGAATAAGGGGATAAAACAACAGGAGAAAGGGGACTCCTCCAAGGAGACAACACTTAAGCAGAGATGTGAAGTAACAGAATGAAACATGAGAATGACTGGGAAAAAGGAACAGCAAAGACCATAAGGGGTGACAAATTCAGCACGCTGGAGATACCCCCAAACTCACTTTACTGTACGTGGAGAGTTGATCCTTTAGGCTCTGACAATGCAACATGGTTCCCAGGGCTACTTGCTGAACCAATTGTTGAAATTTTAAATTTCTGGAAACAAAATCTGTCTCACAGTTTACCTGTGGGAACAAATTGATGTTGCAGTTTACTGACAGTTTCCAAAAGTGCCTTAGGTTGGAGAATAAACCAAAATATCAACAGAACAAGCTGAGGACTGAACACAAAAAAATGACCCCAGAATTTTAAAGCTACAGTTCCTCTCCTATCTTGAGGCCAGAAACTGAATTAAATGATTCCTGCTGTGCCAGTGAGTTAGCAATAGCCTTCACATTCGGAAGATGGTTCCATAATGTCCTGAAGGACTTACAAGTTTACCACTTGCCTGTGGCTGCACACGATAATCACCTCATTCTCCAGCATCCTCCAACTCCAAACCACTTTGTTATTGCCTTGTTTATTTACTTCTCTCACTCTAATCCACGTCTGATTCTTCACCAATTATGGCCTCCAAACCTCCTCTAAAACAGCTACTCTCTGTCCATCAACTAATTAATTAATTACTAGCTTTAAAATCTAACTGTTGCAAGAAACAATCATGACAAGATGTAAGGCTGCACTAGACCCAGTTAGGAGTAATATTCTAGACTGCTAGGCCATTTCTCATCAACACGCCTGTGCATTTCTATATGTAAATGAATCTACAGCTAATAACTGAGGTTTGACAACTACCCTTTATGGTTCTCAAACAGACCTCTTCTTTAAGAATGCAAAGGGTTGGGCCGGGCCTGGCTCACTTGGGAGAGTGTGGTGCTGATAACACCAAGGCCACAGGTTTGGATCCCACATAGGGATAGCCAGTTGGATCACTTGGAAGAGCGTGGTGCTGACAACACCAAGTCAAGGGTTAAGATTCCCTTACCGGTCACCTTTAAAAAAAAAAAAAAAGAATGCAAAGGGTCTACCACAGGCCTTAGACTCAAGAAACGGCTGTTCCTGGTATCTGGAATTTCCAACAACTCACCTCTACTAATACAGTTGTGTTTCCTTCCTGCAGCAGCCCAATCAGGCCTTCTTTAGTCTTTCTCCCATGGAGCTTGGCAGCTTTGCTCCAGCCCTCCTTCTGGGCCTCCTTGTGGAGCCAGATCTCTGCCTAGAAATTGAAAAGAAAAAGAGCAGATAACAAAGTCACAGAATTTAGAACTGAATGGGGCTCCAAGATATGTTTAGGTTCCCTGATTCTTTCTGCTTTCCCTAAATTCTATAGTAGAAACTAAAGTAATATATCATTTACTGGCAGTCTTACCACTAAATGACAAATACCATACATTGTAACTGGTGGTTTGGAAAAGTTTAGTCTTCACAACAACCCATGGGGCAGACAGTATTTTTCATTATAGAGACAAGAATGACACAATTTTGAAAGATTAAGATGTCCAAGGTCACAGGGTTGGTGTGAGAGCACCACGATTAGAGTCCTGGTGGGTCTTACTCCAAAACTCACACAAACTCTTTCAGCTCTAAGCAACAGGAAACATCATAGCCGTCTTGCATGGTACACGGTTTGTAAACCTTGGGATCCTGAATCAACTGCTTCCAAATAAGACAACGTCAAAGGCTAAAGTTGTCATTTAAGCCAGAATCCCATCTAAGGCTCTGCCATTATAGATCACTGGGCAGCAGATCTGACTTCTACGCTCCCCAGAATGGCCTCCCCAAGAGTCTGGTGTCTGGCCCTAGTACCCCGCCCTGCACCCCCTCCCCACCTGTTTGAGATCCCCGCCACAAGTCTCCAGAGCTTTCTTGCAGTTTATAAAGGAGTAGCCTGTTTTCCGCCGCAGCTTCATGAGGAGCTCCTTCCTGGAGGCCGAGGAAGACAGCCAGGGACCAACGTGAAAAGTGTGCCAAGGTCTGGGAGACAGAAGCAGAAGGGACCCCGCCTGGAGGGAGTAAGAAGAAAGGGATGAGAAGCAGGAAGCAGCGACGAACTCCGGGGGGCGGAGAACACATGGGCCGGGAGGTGATCTCAGGGTTTTGGAGGTATGGAAAGCAGGGCAAGGAGGCCGGACTGCGAAGCGACACTGCAGTCGGGGAAGGATGGGAAGGAGTGGAACGGGGGTCGGGGGAGGGAAGGAAAGGGTGCGCTCCAACGCACGGGACAGCTGCAAGGAAGGCAGGTCGGTGCTGGGGCCAGGACCCCTCACCGGGCGGCTCCCAGTCCCCGCGACCAGGCAGAGGCGAAGCGACCGCAACAGCGACATCTCTCCCGCCGCCGTACACTCCAGCCGGCTGGCGCACCGGGGAGGCTACGGGCCTACGGCGTGGCGGAAGGGCCAAAACTCTCCCCGGAACGCGCCAAACAGGATAGCACCACCTGCTGGCCGAAGGGACATAGTCCCCTCCCCTATTTGGCTTATGAGACTACATTTCGCACGGGAATCACCCGCCACAGGTACAATAATGGAAACCAAGAGATGAAGTTGTCTGTCACAAAATACCAATATAAGACAAGTAGGTAACACTTTATGTTTTTTATTTCCAATGCGCTTTCATATTCATTATCCATTAATGACTTGGGACAAAATTGTGAGGGAGATGGGTGGGTTCAGAAATTTGCCCAAGGTCACCTAAAGAGGTAGAGATGGAGTCCCTTCAACGAACTGAGTAAATATTTGTTGAATGAACAAAGTATTTGTTGAACACCTACTGTGTGCCAGGAACTGTGCTAGGCTTCAGGGAATTAGAGTTGAGTAAACCACAGCCCTATCCTCCAAGGTAATCTAGTGTGAGAAAACAAAGATCAGACAAAAGTCCACATGAGACAGAGTAAGGTCCTGTAAGATGAACAAACAGGGTCTCAGGGAGAAAGAAAGCACATCCAAACAACAGGCTCAGGAATAGCTTTTTTCAGGAAAGAAGTAAAGAGTAATGAATATTTTGACAGGTAGCAATAGCCCTTCCAGACAGGCGATCTTCATAAGGAGTGGATGAAGAAGTAAGAAATCTTGGTGTGGGTTTAGAGAAGAAAGAGTAGACCTTCTGTAATTTGACCAGTGGCCCAATACATGTAGGAAAGGAGTAGGAAATGAAGTAGAAAGGTAATTTGGGATCATATGAGGATATACTGAGTACCAAACAGAGGAGCTTATTCTTGTTTATATAGGCAGTGAAGCTAATCAGAGCGGATTTTGGAAGATCGCAGAGTGTGCAGAATTGAAGGAGAGAGAATGGCAGCAAAGAGTCCAGAGGAGGTGACTATGTGCCTAAGCAGTAAGTAAAGAGAGCCCCAACTAGAAGTGCCACAGTGTGAAGAGAAAATAGGTGAAGGCAAAACACATTAGGAAAGAAGGACTGATGGAGCTTGAAAAACTAAAGAAAAAGCAAAGATGAGAAGAGCCTAGTAGTCAGTCCAGTATTCTTTTTGCATGGCACATATTTTGTCATCAGGTCTCCAATTCCAAAAAGGATGAAGAAGCTGTGGTCCAAAGGACAGCTCTGCTGCCCATCCCCAGCTTCAAGGCTGGGAGGAGGACTTGACCCAGTTAGAGCCAGGGTCCTACCAGACTATTGTCTCTAGAAGCAAGACACAGTGGCATGGGGCTGCTTCCTTTTCAGCCCCCCTGGCAAAAACTGAGTACTTTGGATGCAGAAAAGATCTTTAATGCTCATTTCTTTCCCTTTAAAAAATTCCATAGAATTTAGTTTTTAAAAAAAAATCTATTCCGGGCCGGCCCGTGGCTCACTCGGGAGAGTGCGGTGCTGATAACACCAAGGCCCCGGTAAAAAAAATCTATTCTGGGGCCGGCCCATGGCTCACTCGGTAGAGTGTGGTGCTGGCAATACCAAGGCCCCGGGTTCGGATCCCATATAGGGATGGCCGGTTGCTCACTGGCTGAGCGTGG